GAATAAAGAAAGAATATTAAGAGCAGAAAAAGGAAAAAGGCCAAGTAACATATAAAGGCAAACCTATCAGAATTGCACAGGACTTCTCCATGGAAATTCTGAAAGCCAGAAGTACCTGGATAGATATTCTACCAACTCTAAGAGAACATTGATGCTAACCCAGACTACTACACCCAGCAAAGCTTTCAATTACTATCAATGGAGAAAACAAGATATTCCACGACAAAACCAGATGTAAACAATATGTAACCACTAATCCAGCCCTATAGAAACTACTGGAAAGAAAACTTCAATATAAGGAAGTTAACTACACTCACAAAAACATAGGCAATAGATAATCCCTCTTTACCAAAAGCCAAAAGAAAAAGCAGGGTAAATCAACATACAATACCACTACCAACAAGAAATCAAAAAAAAAAAAAACAAGAATAAACACTCAATGGTCCTTAATTTCCCTCAATATTAATGATCTTAACTTGTCTATAAAAAGACACAGGCTAACAGACTGGATACAAAGACAGAATCCTTCCTTCTGCTGCATACAAGAAACAAAACTCAACTTCAGAGACAGACATTACCTCAGAGTAAAGGGTTGGGATAAGATATTCCAATCAAGTGGACCAAAAAAACAAGCTGAGGTAGCTATCCTAGTATCTAACAAGTTAGACTTCAGACTAAAATCAATCAAAAGAGATGAAGAAGTCATTTTATATTCATCACAGGAAAAATCCATCAGGAAAAAGTCTCAATTCTAAACATCTATGCCCTAAATACAAAGGAACCCATGTTCATAAAAGAAACACTATTAAAACTCAAATCACAAATAAGACCTCACACAGTTATAGTGGGAGACTTCAACACCCCATTCTCACCACTGGACAGGAACACCAGACAGAAACTTAACAAAGAGACAAAGGAACTAACAGAAGTTACGAGCCAATTGGGATTAACAGACATCTATAGAACATTCATCCAAACACAAAAGAATACACCTTCTTTTCAGCACCACAAGGAACCTTCTCTAAAATAGACCACGTACTCAGCAACATAGCAAACATCAACAGGTATAAAAAAAATTGTCATAACTCCCTTTGTCTTACCAGACCATGATGATTTAAAGTTAGAATTCAAGAACAACACAAATTGCAGGAAACCTACAAACTCTTGGAAATTGAACAACACTCAATGGCATTATTCCTGGGTCAACAAAAAATAAAGAAAGAAATTAAAGACTTCGTACAATTTAATGAAAATGTAGAAAAACATACCCAAACTTATGAGTCACTGAAAGCAGTACTAAGAGGAAAGTTCATAGCTTTATGTGCTCACATGAAGAAACTAGAGAATACTCCCACCAGATAGTTGATCTCACAACTGAAACCTCTAGAAAAAATGGAATCAAATTCACTCCAGAGGAATAAAAGCCAGGAAATAATCAAACTGAGGGCCGAAATCAATAAAAGTCAAAACAAAGAAAACAATTCAATGAATCAATGTCACAAAGAGTTGGTTCTTGCAGAAAATCTACAAGATAGACAAACCTTTATCCAAACTAACCAAAAGGCAGAGAGAGAACATGCAAATTAACAAAATAAGAAATGACAAGGGAGACATAACAAGGACACTGAGGAAATCCAGGGAATCTTCAGGTCATACTTTGAAAACATGTACTCCACAAAAGGAAATGTACATTTTTTTCTGGACAGATATCACTTACCAAAATTGAATCAAGAACAGATAAGCAACCTAAACAGACCTATAACATAGAAGAAAATAGAAGCAGTCATCAAAAGTCTCCCAGCCAAAAAAAGCCCAGGTCCAGATAGCTTCAGTGCAAATTTCTAGCACAAATTCAAAGAAGAGCTTATATCAATACTCCTCAAATTGTTTGACACAATAGAAGCAGAGGATTTATTGCCAAACTCATTTTACAAAGCTAAAATTACCTTGATACATAAGCCACACAAAGACACAATTAAGACCATTATCCCTCATGAACTTTGATGCAAAAATACTCAATAAAATACTGGCAAATCGAATCCAAGAACATATCACAAAAATCATCCACCGTGATCAAGTAGGCTTCACCCCAGAATGCAGGGTTGGTTCAATATAGAAAAACCTATCAGTGTAATCCACCATATGAACAAACAGATAAAGAAAAACCACATGATCATCTCACTAGATGCTAAAAAAGCCTTTGACAAAATCCAACACCCCTTCATGATAAAGGTCCTGGAGAAATCAGTGATAACAGGAACATACCTGGACATAATAAAAACAAAATAGAGTAAACCAACAGTCAACATCAACCTAAATGGTGAGAAACTCAATGCAATTCCTCTAAAATCAGGAACGAGACAAGGCTGTCCACTCTCTCCATATCTCTTCAATATTGTACTTGAAGTTCTAGCTAGAGCAATAAGACAACAAAAGGAGATCAAGTGGATAGAAATTAGAAAGGAAGAAGTCAAACTTTCACTATTTGCAGATGATATGATAGTCTGCAGAAGTGACCCGAAAAACTCTACCAGGGAATTACTACAGCTAATAAACACCTTCATCAAAGTATCATAGTATATAGTGGGGAGGTATGGGCTTTTGTGGGCAGCACCTTGTCTGGAGCCTGTATGTTGTCTATAGCACACGTGGAAGTGTTGGGACTAGGCCAGGGCATGAGACTTGGGAACATTCAGAATCCTAAGCGGTGCTACTGCCAGGTTCAGATGATCAGATGAGGCCGGAATATTGAACCATGATAAATATAGATGGATGTAAATAAACATTTATCTGACTTTGAGAGTGTACTAACCATGGTAGAAGTTTTGTGAAGTCTGGGTATGTAAGATCTGTGAGTGTGGAAATATAGTTGGCACCAAGAGTACTGTGTATAGATCAAGTAGAGCGGGTCCTGGTAGAACCCTGTATATTGGCTACAGTTAAAGAGTAGGTGGTGGGAGTAGGACCCTGGATTTGATACTCTGTTAAAACCTAGTGGTTATTATTGCCAAATTCTAGAATGTAAGTGGCAAAACTATTCTGGGACACTGGCAGTACAATATGAGCTGTGTTTTGTGGGTTATGGAGAAACAGTGTCTACTAAGGGAAATATTCACCAGGTTTGAATTTTGGAGAGGACATGGGAAGTCTGGATCCTTAAGGAGTGGGGTTTTGTGTGCAGAGCAAATATTCCATGGGTGGGTGCAGGTGTGTTATATGCTGAGGGTCTTTATATGTGGGCTGTAGAAGAAGAAAGGTTGGTGTAATCATGCTGTGGCTTGAGATTTGGGACCCTGGATAGTTCTTTAATCACTTCAAGGTAAATGAATCCATTCTTTGATGGGACAGGAGCTATTCTATCTAGGATAAATGACACTAAATATGGAGAAATAAGTACTGTGTGCAGATGTGCTCACCTGGCTTGTCCCTGGAGGGGTACATAAAAAGTTTGTGTATGTTGGAGAGGTATGCACAGCTCTAAGAGCACTAATGGTTTATATAGTTAGGGTAATATCTGGTGGTAGCTCTGACGTTGTCTATATTATAGGAAGAGGTGCACAATCTAGGCTGTCTTATGTCTGGGGATGCTGTTAAACTTTAGAAGTCACTACTGCAAGGCAAATGCCTACACCAAGTCTGGGTGTTGCTTACGGTTTTCAGGTTACACTTGGCAATATGTTGAAAAGCATGTATCTGGTAGTATGTGGCATCCTCAGTAGGCTAGACACTGAAAGAATATAAACACTGGTTATGGAGTGGACTAATATAGGTGGTGGGAAGGGTCCTGTGGATGAATGAAGGAATTACAGGAGGCTTTATGTTGGCCACAGCAAAGGAGGAGGTTTTGAGGCTAGGCTGGGATCCTGTGGAAGCTTTGAGGTCACTCTGTAAGGCCACACAGCCAGATTAGGCCTGAGGACTGGCTTTGGCATGCTCACTAGATCCTGAGTAATGAGGAAATGTAAGTATCCGGTTTGTGTGTGTGCATGTACACACACACACACACACACACACACACACACACACACACACACACACACACTCACACTCACCAGTCTAGACCATGGAGGAGGTCTTATGAAGTCTATGTATGGAGTGTTCTGGTATCCTTAATTTGTAAAGGATGCGGATAGCTAAGTCCTGGAGTGAGGATAAATATTGGCTATAGGACATAGTGATGGGACTAGGTAGTGTGACATATTTGGACCCTGAGGAAGCCTAGAGGTAGTGACTGAAAGATTCAGGCTACCAGCCTAGGCTGTGGGTTTCAGGCTAGATATTCTGAGATGTAGAAAAACAAGTATAGGGTGGTAGGGTACAATCATCAGGCTCGACCCTGAAGGAGGACATATGAAACCTATGTATGAGGTAAGAAGGGGTAGGAAAAGGAAAGTATTGTATGTGTTGATGTGAGTAGGAGGCTGGGACCTGGTTGGAACCTAGATGTTTGCTATAGCACAGGTTGGTAGGATGATTGACATGTATATGGATATTCAAATACAGTAATGTTACATGAGAAGGATTTTAGGGAAGACGTTCAAGATACTAGGCAAAGATTAAAGCAGACATAGAGGAATAAACCATTGAGCAGGGGGAGTCTCGGGGAAGATGTTGGAGAAGCAAATGCTCTGTTATATGTTCTACCACAACTTAAGTGGATATATGAAGAAGGATGGCATGGGAAATTTGCCTTCAATTTGCTAAAGGGAAGTCTCCTTCTAAAACTGGACTCTCTTTGCTTTCTCAGTATCTTCCCCTCTATAACGGTGGTACACTCTGCTGTTTCTTGCTTCATCTGGCATTCTTATGCATCAGAACCATGTTTTATGACATCAGAGCACAAGCTCGTCTACTATTGGTTGAAGACCTTGATGACAAATCAGGCCTGAGGGTCGTGGCCTTCACTGCTCTGTCAGTTTATCAGACCTCTCGGTTCGGACAACTACTAACTCCTGCCAATGGCGCGAGTAACTAAGTTGCCGAAGGAGACCCTTTCGGAAATGGATCTCTCAACTTCTTCGATGGGGATTCAAGCAGGGGCCAGGCCTATGCTACCTATAAAGACTAAGGCAGCCTATAAACTTTATCCTGCAAGTATTCTCAGTGGAAAGGTAAGATAACTCACCCTACTCAAGCTCTCTCCTGTTGATTTACTCTTGCCTAAAGTGACTACCTCTCTCTGGCCTGACATAAATCCGCTCATCTATCCTGACCATTTCTGACATAGTACACTTAACATGCTGTATCCTGACCTTCCCCTGGATTAACTAACTCTTGTGTCCTCCCACTTGTCATTCTAGGGCAACAAACGTGGGAAGCGTGCCCTACAAAAGAAGTCCACCAAAAAGGACCTCAAAGAAGTTACTCCACCAGTGCCGGCAGCCGAAGAAGAATTTACTCCACTGGTTCCGGCCACCGAAGATGTTACTCCCCCGGTGCCGGTAGCCGAAGAATTTACTCCATTGGTGCAGGCTGCCAAAGATGATACTCCTCCGGTGCTGGAAGTCGAAGAATGTACACCACCAGTGCCAGCCACCAAAGAAGTTACACCACCGGCACCAGTTGACGAAGAAGTTACTCCACCTGTGCCGGCCATGGAAGAAGTTACTCCACTGGTGCCAGCGTCCGAAGAAGTTACTGCACCTGTGCTAGTCAAAAACGGAGCTACTCCACAGGGGCCAATGATAAATAGAGAATCACCATCAATCTCAGAGGAGCCACAACTTTTGGAGGAGCTAACCGAGAAGTCCAGTGAGGAAGAAGCAAATGCGGAAGCAAGTGCTACTGGACTCGAGGCGGCAAGGGAGGGATTTGGATCTCACAATGATTTAGGGCACAAACGGTGGTTACATGATGAGACAGCGAGTTTGGGTGGCTATATGAGAAGGGAAGATTTGGGTCTCACATGGGTTAAGGGGTAGAATGGTGGGAAAATGAAAAGGGAATGAGTTTGGATGGATATATGAGGAAGGGAATCTGTGTCTCACAATGTTTTGGGGGCACAAATGGTGGTATAGGGGATGAGAGGGAGTATGTTTGGGTGTAGGATAAGGGAGGAATTTAGGTCTCACAAAGTTTTGGGGCAGAAATGGGGGGAACATAGCAAGTGAGGGAGTTTGAGAGGCTATATAAGAATATCTTACATTATTTGTTGGCTTAATGGAGGGTACATGACAAGAGAAATTTTGTCATAGCATTATGAGAAGGGGAAATTTGGGTCTCACATGCTTTGGGGGGCAGAACTGGTGTGTATACAACAAAAGTGGGAATTTGGGTGGCTTTTAAAAGGGGAAATATGCATCTTAAAAGTTTTGGGGATTAAATAGGCATACATGGCCAGAGAAAGGTTTTGGGAAACTATAGGAGACAGGGAATCTGGATCTCTCATTGTTTGGTGGCTGAAATGGTGAGTACATAGAAAGAGAAGGAGTTTGGTTGGCTACGAGAGAAGAGATTAGGGTCTTCCATGGTTTGGGGGCAGAAAGGGAGGTTACATGGCAAGTGAAAGAGATTGGGTTGCTATATTGAAATGGGGGTTTGTGTCTCACAACGTTTCTGTCTGAAATTGTGGTTATACGAATGAGAAGGAGATTCTGTGGCTAAATAAGAAGGGGGGATTTTGTTCTCACTTGATTTGGGGCCAGAAATTGAGGGTACATGGAATGAGAGGTAGTTTGGGTGGCTATATGAGAAGGGGGATTGGGTCTCACATGGTTTGGGTGCAGAATGGGGGTACCTGATGAGAGAAGGAGTTTGGGTAGAGATTTGAAAAAGGAGGGATTTTGATCTCACAATGATTTAGGGCACAAACTGATGAAATTATGAGAGAGGGAGTTTGGGTGCCTATATGAGACAGGAGGATTTGGGTCTCAAATAGTTTGAGGGCTGAAATGGTGAGAATATAAAAAGGGAGTGAGTTTGGATGGCTATATGAGGAGGGGAATTTGTGTCTCACAATGTTTTGGGGGCACAAATGGTGGACTAGATGATGAGAAGGAGTATGTTTGGGTGCATGATAAGGGAGGAATTTGGGTCTCACAAAGATTTGGGGCAAAAATGGTGGGAACATAGTAAGTGAGGGAATTTGTGTGGCTATATGAGAAGGGGGGTTTGTATCTTACAAAGTTTGGTGCCTTATTTGGTGGGTACATAAGAATAGAAGTGTTGTCATGGTTATATGAGAAGGGGTAATTTGGGTCTCACATTCTTTGGGGGCAGAAATGGTGTTAATACCATATGAGTGGGAGTTTGAGTGGCTTTTAAAAGGGGAAATTTGCATCTTAAAAGGTTTTGGGGCTTAAATAGGTGTACAAGGCAAGAGAAAGGTTTTGGGAAGCTATAGCAGAGAGGGAATCTCAATCTCTCATGATTTGGAGGCTGAAATGTTGAGTACATAGCAAGAGGAGGAATTGGGTTGGCTATGAGAGAAGACATTTGCGTTTCCCAAGTTTTGGGGGTAGAAAAGGGAGTTACATGGCAAGAGAAGGGATTGGGTTGCTATATGAAAATGGGGGTTTGAGTCTCACTACATTTCTTACCGAAAATGTGGTTATATGGCATGAGAAGGATTTTTGTTGCTATATAAGGAGAGATTTGGTTCTCATTTGGTTTGGGGGCAGAAATGGTGGGTACATGCCATGAGAATTAGTTTGGGGACCTATATTTGTAGGGGGATTTGGGCCTCACATACTTTGGGGAAAGAAATGGGGGATATATGATGAGGGAAGTGATTGGGTGGGGATTTGACAAGGGAGGCAATTGGATCTCACAATGATTTAGGGCACTGATGGTGATTACATTATGAGATAGGGAGTTTGGGTGCCTATAGGAGAAGGGAGGATTTGGGTCTCACATGGTTTGAGGGCTGCAATGGTGGGAACATGAAAAGGGAATGAGTTTGGATGGCTATATGAGGAGGGGAATTTGTGTCTCACAATGTTTTGGGGGCACAAATGGTAGTCTAGATGATGAGAGGGAGTATGTTTGGGTGCATGATAAGGGAGGAATTTAGGTCTCAGAAAGATTTGGGGCAGAAATGGTGGGTACATAGTAAGTGAGGGAATTTGTGTGGCTATATGAGAAGGGGGGATTTGTATCTTACAAGTTTTGGTGGCTTATTTGGTGGGTACATGTTAAGGGAAGTGTTGTCATGGTTGCATGAGAAGGGGAAATTTGGGTCTCTCGGTCTTTGGGGGTAGAAATGGTGTATATATCATAAGAGTGGGAGTATGAGTGGCTTTTAAAAGGGGAAATTTGCATCTTCAAAGGTTTTGGGGCTTCAATAGGTGTACAAGGCAAGAGAAAGGATTTGGAAAGATATAGCAGAGAGGGAATCTGGATCTCTCATGGGTTGGAGGCTGAAATGTTAAGTACATAGCAAAAGGAAGAATTTGGTTGGCTATGAGAGAAGGGATTTCTGTCTCCCATGTTTTGTGAGCAGAAAAGGTGGTTACATGGCAAGAGAAAGAGATTGGGTTGGTACATTAGAATGGGGTTTGTGTCTCACTACCTTTCTCACTGAAATTGGTGTTATATGGCATGAGAAGGAGTTTTATGGCTACATAAAAATGAGGCCTTTGGTTCTCACTTGGTTTGAGGGCAGAAATGGTGGGTACATTGCATGCGAGGTCATTTGGGTGCCTATATGAGAATGGAGGATTTGGTTCTCACATGGTTTGGGGGTATAAATGGGGGGGTACATGATGAGAGAATGAGTTTGGGTGGGGATTTGACAAGGGAGGGATTTGGATCTCACAATGATTTAGGGCACTGATGGTGATTATCTTATGAGAGAGGGAGTTTGGGTGCCTATATGAGAAGGGAGGATTTGGGTCTCACATGGTTTGAGGGCTGCAATGGTGGGAAAATGAAAAGGGAATGAGTTTGGATAGCAATATGAGGAGGGGAATTTGTGTCTCACAGTGTTTTGGGGACACAAATGGTGGTATAGAGGATGAGAGGGAGTATGTTTTGGTGTAGGATAAGGGAGGAATTTTGGTCTCACAAAGTTTTGGGGGGGAAATGGTGGGAACATAGCAAATGAGGGAGTTTGAGTGGCTGTATAAGAAGGGGGGATTTGTATCTTACATCATTTGTTGGCTTAAATGTAGGGTACATGACAAGAGAAATTTTGTCATAGCTATATGAGAAGGGGCAATTTGGGTCTAACATGCTTTGAGAGCAGAATTGGTGGGTATACCACAAAAGTGGGAATTTGGGTGGCTTTTAAAAGGGGCATTGTGCATCTTAAAATATTGGGGCTTTTATAGGCATACATGGCCAGAGAAAGGTTTTGGGAAACTCCAGGAGAGAGGCAATCTGGATCTCTCATTGTTTGGTGGCTGAAATGGTGAGTATATAGCAAGAGGAGGAGTTTGGTTGGCTATGAGAGAAGGAATTACGGTCTCCCATGGTTTAGGGGCCGAAAGAGAGGTTACATGGCAAGTGAAAGAAATTGGGTTGCTATATTAGAATGAGGGTTTGTGTCTCACGTTTCTGTCTGAAATTGTGGTTATAGGAATGAGAAGGAGTTTCTTTAGCTACATAAGAAGGGGGGATTTTTGTTCTCACTTGATTTGGAGGCAGAAATGGTGGGTACATGGCATGAGAGGTAGTTTGGGTGATTATATGAGAAGGGGGATTGGGTTTCACATGGTTTGGCTGCAGAATGGGGGGTACCTGATGAGAGAAGGAATTTGGGTGGAGATTTGACAAGGGAGGGATTTGGATCTCACAATGATTTAGGGCAAAAACGGTGGTTACATTATGAGAGAGGGAGTTTGGGTGGCCATATTAGAGGGTAGGATTTGGGTCTCACATGTTTTGAGGGCTGAAATGGTGGGAACGTGAAAAAAGAATGAGTTTGAATGGCTACATGAGTATTGGAATTTGTGTCTCACAAAGTTTGGGGGGCACAAATGGTGGTATCAGTGATGAGAGGTAGTATGTTTGGGTGAAAAATAAGGGAGGAATTTGGGTGTCACAAAGTTTTGGGGCAGACATGGTGGGTACATAGCAAGTGAGGGAGTTTGAGTGGCTATATGAGAACAGGGATTTGTATTTTACAAGTTTTATTGGTTTAAATGGTGGGTACATGTGAAGAGAATGTCATGGCTATATGAGAAGAGGCAATTTGGGTCTCACATGCTTTGGGGACAGAAATGGTGTGTATACCATTAGAGTGGGAGTTTGAGTGGATTTTAAAGGGGGAAATTTGCATCTTAAAAGGTTTGGGGGCTTAAATAGGTGTACAAGGCAATAGAAAGGTTTTTGGTATCTATAGCAGAGAGAGAATCTGGATCTCTCACTCTTTGATGGCTGAAAGGCTGAGTACATAGCAAGAGGAGGAGTTGGTTGGCTATGAGAGAAGGGATTAGTGTCTCCCATTGTTTGGGAGCAGAAAAGGTGGTTACATGGCAAGAGAAAGAGATTGGGTTGCTGTATTAGAATGGGGGTTTGGTTATCTCAACGTTTATGAGTGAAATTGTGGTTATATGTCATGAGAAGGAGTTTCTGTGGCTACATAAGAAGGAGGGATTTGGTTCTTACTTGGTTTGGGGGCAGAAATGGTGGCTACATAGCATGAGAGGTAGTTTGGGTGCCTATATGAGAAGGGGGTATTTGTGTCTCACATGGTTGGGGCCAGATATTGGGGTACATGATGAGAGAATGAGTTTGGGTGGAGAGTTGACAAGGCAGGGATTTGGATCTCACAATGATTTAGGGTGCAAATGGTGGTTACATTATGAGAGATGGAGTTTGGGTGGCTATATGAGAATGGAGGAACTGGGTTTCACATGTTTGAGGGCTAAATGGTGGAAACATGAAAAGGGACTGATTTTGGATGGGCATGTGAGGAGGGGAATTTTTGTCTCACAATGTTTTGGGGGCACTAATGGTGGTATAGGGGATGATAGGGAGT